TCAACGAGGAAATAATGAACGTTCTCCTTTTCTTGAGCTACATGCAAATCGAGAGTATTAACCGTGCACCAAAAATCTCACAAACCACTTGGGTTCGCAGATAGCAAGCATATCAATAAAAAGCTGAAACAAGAAGATCGGGCAATTCGGCGTTTTGCCGAAGCGATCGAAGATTGAATTGATGAATAAATTAGACACTTGAAACCACACTCAAAATTCAAAGACACGTACGAAGCTTTACGTACAAATTTTTATATAGAGGCAATGAACATGAAAGACCTACGAGAAGAGGAGAAAGCAGATTCATACTATACGGTTAGACATCGAAAAGTTCTTTCCTCTCCAAAATTGCATCGGACCATTTTCGAAAAACGATGGACTTGCTTGGACACTTTATGCAAGCGAGCCGTTTGTTAGGTGAAATTTTCCTGATAGCTGGTTATAGTGCTGGTGATGTAATCATGATTCTGGGCTAGTCTAGGGCATGATTCTGGGTGATGATGCACTATTGCTGAGCAGCTCGCAAAAAGGTAGATGCGCGAACGTTGCCATGGCGCTGATTGTGAATGACGAACGCGCTAGAGCCGGTACGGTGGCAATGCAAGCGTAACAACGATGAAACAGCTGGTACATTAAACCATAATTCAGAGCCTTTCTCTCCTTATCTCTTGCTGTGCATCTGCATTAGAGGTGTACCGCATTTAGCCTTCTCCTTCTTAAACGAACCCTTGTAAACCCTCTGTTGCCTCAGTTTATATAGGAAGCAGCCCCTCTCTCTCTCTCTCTGTACTTCCTTTCCTTCTCCCCGTTTAGACCCTTCTTATCCCTAACGGTTCCCGAATCTTAGCGATCTCGAATAGATAGAAGCTCTAGGAAAACAGTGCAACTAACTGCCAAAATAAGGCACAGCGCCATGGAGACTATTTCCACTACGACTGTTGCGATGTCGTGCTTCTACTACTGTAGCCACCACTACTAGCTACACCGCAAGCTCTTTCTCATGGTATCCATACCCATAAAGCTGCAGCGCGAAACTATAAATTGCAATTTGCTCCGTGGATTACACGGTCGCTGCTGGACGAACGAGAGAAGCGGGGACAGCAGCGTTGGAGCGGGAGAAGGCGGCCATAGGATATCATAGCATCACGCGTTCCACGATTCGCCGGATCAACTGCGTACACTATTTGCTGCATATATTGGCTTAGGGCTCGTACAGTGTAAAACGTTTGTTAGTAAATGCGGTCGTCGCTTCGAGTATCTTATACTGTATACATACGTGCATAAAGACAGGCTCAGAATGTATGCCAGACATATCGTCGGTGGACACAAATGTGCATTCCTTTCTATAGTAGGTCTTGAAGTCGGTCGGGCGCTTCTGTCTTCCGACTGGGGCGGGTTAGATGAAACTAGATAAAATGCTGACCACTATCAACATGAGACCGAACTGAGGGCAGCAGGCAACCGCAGGCGACAGGCAAACCAGACGAGGAGGGTGACGACGGCGGTTATAGGTTGTGTGGTCGTATTATGTATCAGCATAGAAGTAACACAATGACCCAAAGGAGAACCTAGCATATATTAGCACGATCAGTATCGAAGGATTCATAATGGCGACATAGCTTGTACCGTTACGGTTGATAACAATGGCTAGGTTATAGTTGGACGACGACGACGACGACGGAAATAACTACGAAACCAAGAAGAAAATGGCATGAACAGTAATCCCGCTGGCAGTGGCAACATGTTTGTTTCACATCGTTATGACCTACGAGCTTGCCTTTATAGTATCGGCTGATTGGCAATGTCTCCTGGCCTCCGTCGCTGTCAATTCTTGCTCGGATAAATATGTTATATATATATATATATAAAGTGCATTTAGCCACCCAGACAAGAAAACACCGTAACACGATTGAATAGCAGCATCCGTTTGATCCTGGTAAAACGAGGTCAGTGGGGGATCAGTTTGTCTGTATTTGTTCGACGCGTAGCTCAGCTACTGATATTATATAATACGTACCTTTTGCTAAATACTTCTACATTGAGTAAAATATTATTATGGGAGGTAAAGCCGCAGAACATGTCGCTGGAGTACGAGCATAATATTTTTGTAGTATCGTAGCACACAACGCTCATACCTAGCTTCAATGATCTGATGGCCACGCAAAAAATCAAAGGGCTTTTAGCAGGGGTAATAATGTTATGAGGCTCCGGCTTTTCATAAAAATGTCTGCCGTGTTGACTATTAAGGCTTTTTAAAAGGTTCCGCACTTTATTTGTTTTTAGTATATATATAGCCCTGGATAAACGGAAATCACGTACGGCCAATACCCTATATATATTTACGTATAATTTTAGCAAATATATATACGTATATATACATATACATCGCAGTGTATTCTTAATATTTATACTCTCAAATTTCCTATGACTGTTCTCCTGCTTGTGTGTGCATGAGTGAGCATTTTAATGTAGTCAGAACTGGAGAGGGACGACGCGTATCTTTTAGCATTTTCAAACGATCAACTTAAAGACTCCGTAGCGGCTCATTGCAACCATCTGTTCTTTAGTTTCAACGCATCGCTAAGTTCTATACCCATCCGCCGTAACAGAACATTCCTACGAGGTTTTCACTAGCTGCACTCTTTCTCTTCCACGCTTTATTTCTTCTGCTGTTGATTTGCCATTCCTGATGCGACTACCCGTCCTGATTATGATGTGTCTCCCATCCCTCCGTTTGTATGAGCAATTCTCTAATCTCTTCTCCAACGAGGAATTTTTCACTATTTCCTTTTAGCGCCTCGCCTGCTGCCGCTTTCGAGAGCCATGAAACTTTACATCTTCCACATCGTTCCACAACAGCAGCTGAACCGCAGGAGGCAGAGTCCTGCTCCGGGGCTGATCAGTCCACCCGCCCTGGCGTTTGCAAGCCGGCCCGCGCGGTGAACACTTTGCCTTTTCGAGGCCAAATTCTCTAATTTCTCGTGAAAAGTAATTTCTTAATTTGGCTATCTATTTCTATTCCTTTACTTCGTTACCCAGGGAAGCACGTAGTCCCAGGCGATTACAGACCACCTTTCAGGCTGAGTCGACTACCAGGACACCCTGGCACAGGAAAACCGACCGGTACTTTACCATGCTACCGAACCCCTGTCTTGAATGTGAGAGCAGGAGAGATCTAAAAGCTAAACGGACGATGGAAGATCGCGAAAGGGGAGGTATGCTTGTCTGTTGTGGAGAGTGGAGCGTAATGTAGTACTAGGAGGTGCCAGGAAAACTGAGTCATACGAAGCTAAAGGATAGGGACAGGATAGCGAGAAAACGAGAGAAACGGCGCGGAGAAGAGGGTGAGGAGAATTTAAGGTGAGTCTGCTTGTCAGACCCTATGTAGGTGCGTAGTCTAATCAATTTATGACTAAGGTAAAGCTCTCTTACACCAACACCAACTTGCTTTAGGTCTAAGCAGCCGTAGCAGCTCGAAACCTGCGATCTCCAGGAACAGCAACCCAATGACAAAGCCGCGACGAAGATTTTCACATACAAAAACTCATTTACTCACTATCCTGCCGATGCTGCAGAAACAGACTGCAGCTGTTTGGCTCGCCTGGGGTGATGTTAGCTATTGGATAGCCAGATACTGCATCTATTGCTTCAGTAAATAGGGCAAGATACTAGGTAGTACAAGTTGCCAACAGCATCCCTGACAATAATATCGTCAGCCCGTTGCGCTTGACGAACATGGAAACACACTGAATTACACGGATGGTAGTCACTCTAGATTACTCGAAGGAGGTTTAAATAATGCATCAGTTATCATGAAGCGTGCTTGTTTAGTAACGTAAAGAGATAGAAACATAAAACCCTAAATGTTTTCTACATTTTTATTACTGTGTTTTTAGAACAATTTATTTTGCAACAGTTTATCTAAACATAATGTACGCCATAGCACAGTAAACCGGGCGGTGATACATGATTTGAAAATATGACGAAAAAAACGAAAATGCGTCAAAATGATGCCTATTTTCTCTAAAAAAAACCTGATTTTGACACGACACGTGTGAACCTTCAATGAATAGGTATTATTTACTGGCAATGACACAGAACGAGCTATGCAAGAAAATGCTCGAAAGGGCATCGGCGGTTAATATGTCATCTTGCATCAGGTTTACGTAATTAGTCGAAATTGATCATGCTTATACTCCAGTTCGATGATGTTTTTAGAAATATATAGTGTATAAAGGACGTCAGAGGTGATCCACCCTTTCCGGTCAACACCCATCAGCATCACATGGAGCAGGTCTTTGCCTCAAGCGATGATCCAACATCGTCTGGGTCGAGTTGGGTCCGAGCTGCTCGAGTTCCCACTGCTTCTTCTCCGTCTTCGTCTTATCAACGCTGGAAAAGATCTATCAACTATATGGGGAAAAAGAGAACACATGAGAAAAAGAATGGCCCTTTTTTGGCAACCCGTCCCCATTTCCCCGACTTGGCCTCCAAGCATACTTATCATCTGCTTCATCAGCTGGCATCGTCCTTTCGCACAAAACACAACTATACCAACGACATACTTGTAGTCACTGCTCGGATAGGCAGTAAGCGATATGTTCCATTAACAGAGTAATATGCAAGGGCTAGTTCTTTGCTTAGGTAGACACGGCTATCCACCCTATCTGCACGTATACATGCATATCTGTATAGATACATATGTAAATCTACATAGATACATGCGAGGCCTACATAAGCCAAGGCACTGTCGCATCGATGTACCATGATGTAAGTACATACCAAGCGTGTATACATATAACATAAGTATATATATAAGTACATATATAACGTGTTCGAACTTGAAAGATAACTAGTACATCGATCTACATAAAATTTCATCGCACTGGGTATTGTGTGAGTCAAACTGAGACTTTGCCAGATGGAAGATTCATCCGTACGTTAGGCTTCCTCGTTTCGAAGATAGCATGTCTAGTATGTAGTATATAGATGGTACGTACAGGTATGCCATCAGAGATTGTGTGCTCTCGAGTGCTGCTGCTATTGCCAGCATTAGTGCTGCGTTCATTTCATATTGGCCGCCCAGCAGGTTATGTCTTCGGAAGCGAGGTAGCTGGGGCGAGGTAAAATAGGGGTCAGCCGGGTGCCTGCAACAAGAAGACCTTTCCTTGTCAGTAGAGACCATAGTTGTAGTAGTCGTCGCAGTAAGTCTCCATCTAAGCGCTGCTCCATCTTTGTCCCGAGGGAGCGGGGCGAGGGTCATAAGCAACAATTTGGTGGTTCGGTTGCTCGACAGATACACAGGCAAGCCATGACTCAGCATTTGAGAGTCCCTTATCCCAGTCGCCACGCCGCCACCTACATCTTCTCTTGATTCTTTCCCGTTTCCAATTTTCCTCCGTTCTAGATACGACGACGTGTAGAACAAAAAGCGAGAACCTCTTTTACCCCTGGCCTCCTTTTGCTTTTTCGTTCATGCCCTCAACAGCAATAGGACCTGGAGAAAACTTGTAACAGCACCGGCTAACTACTGATTATAATCACGATCAAAATCAGACCGACAGATACTTTTCTTAACTGAGGCTTACAAGACATACAGGCGTATGGTAGCTGGTCTAAGATTTTAACGTAATGCCACGCCCAGGCTGTATTCGATTATTATATGGCGTTAGCAGACGCTTATATGATTAAACCGCAAGGAGAAATATATTAGATGAATGGCATCAAGCAATTTCAATAAGGTAAGGTTCTGTTGAGATAGCAGACTACAGCAGATTTAGGATACAATGATTGATTGCCATACTCACCGTTATCCTTGGTAAGACGGCGCAGCGGTCGGCCTTGGTCAGCTACATGCTTGATGTAGCGTAAAGGCATCGGCGGCCTTCATAAGGCGGAGACGTCTGAGGTCGAGCAGTGAATGGTAGGAGAGCTCTAAGTGATTTTTCGGTCTGGCGCAAGGTGCAGCATCGTACTGCTTTCGCCCGCTCGCTTATCGAATCGTAGCGACTTCCTTCGACTGCCAATAGCGTCGAAGGAAGTCGCTACGATTCATCGTCGTTAGCTTCACCGAGATTTTCCAAGATAACGGAAGACTTGTCGATGGTACTGGGTGTCGGATTCCAATTATTTGTTTCGACTAACTTCCTCGAAAGCTCTCCTCCAGGAGGCTCCAGCCAGCACCATGCCCAATTAAAGTGTTCCTCATTCATTTGAAATGAGTTTTATCGGCGATGATCATCTTTCCAAGATGCAAAGAAACGGCCTTGCGCTTTACTGATCCGATGAGCATTCGATTTTTACTTTCTCCACTTGCTGTTATGAGCAGCACTATGGGTAGGTGGGCATTTCACCTATGGGAATTAGCTTGACAGCTATAGAGAGAAGTGGCCTATAATAAGACATCGTCTATTTTCGATTCCATTTACTCATTGGGGACGTTGCTAGAAATAAGGACAGCGATGCTTCGAGGAACGACTTTCCGCCGAATTTTTTCAGCTACCTTATACTGCGATAATTATATATATATATGTACATTAGATACTATAACGATTGGTAAAAAGTAACATACTTTGTTCGTGTTGTACAAGCTGGACATACCATGCGACGTCTTACGGTTCTCTCAATCGTTGGTTCTTCTAAAAGCTGATAGATTAGCTAATTCCACAGTTATTTATTTAATAGCAGATAAGCTATAGTCTGTTACGCAGGTCCACGTGCCCCGTTAGCAGCTTTTGTTTAGCTTCAAATGACCTGACCATGCACAACTGGGCAGGTTTTGTGTCAGTAGGTTAGCATTATAGCCCCGTTGAAAGTCGTTAATCCGCGCATGAACGTACCAGCATCAGCGCCCTCACTAACACCCTCCAATGTGGCTGTAGTTGTTGGATATGTCGTGCCGTACGTCGCCTACCGGAAAAGGCGAGGACGGACGAGAAAGCGGAAGTACTATATTAAGGCTACTAACCCGTCCGTCACTCGTTGTCTTGTGCGCAGCTCACTCACATTCTCGTGCAATAAGATCGCCCCATATCCGTGCGATCGGGGCTTGGAAGGTGAGAAAACCGCATCAGATAGTATTTATCGCACTATATATCCCATGTCTTCGTTACTTCGTAACCGCATCGAGGAGATAGGCAAGCATTTACAAAGCGTACTGCTATTACTATTATACATTACACTTCGTCGTTCGTAGGTCATCTATTCGTTACAGACGACCCAGAAAAGGTATTACCGTTGCTGACGCAGCTTACGACAATGTTTCAGGAGATCCAAACACAGGCAGATCAGCACAGCGATCTACGATCACTAGACCCAGAGTGCTTGGTGAACCTCACGAACGCCTCTACCCATACCCGTGTTTTATACGCGCGGTACACACTGGGAGAGCCCTGCAAATGTGCCTAAATACCAAATAGAGACCCATGAAGTACGTGAGAATATTTACTTCTTTTATAAGGCCAAAACAGTAAACATTTAGTAGAGAGTGTGGGCAAAACGTAGTGAGGATTTGCGGCTGCTTATATGCTGCATAAAGCCTTGTGTAAGAGCGATGCAAAATAACCTACCTACTGCTGCCACTGCTGCAGGTATGCGTTTTGATAGCACGGATGCTAAACTTGCTTCACGCAGTGGGGTATAGAGATCTAGATATGGTGTACGAGACGAACGGGGGCCTGTGGGTCAGAGGGTAGCCGACTTGCTGGTTGTGGTACGAGGGTCTCTCTAGGGTAAATTCCTCGCCACATGAAGGGTCGTCCTCATGTTCAATGTTCATGGCCCACTCGCACCGGCGTGGGCGCAGCGCACTACGTGCTCGATACAAAAATGTTGCTGGTACTGTGCCTCTATCTTGCACACTTATCCTTCCCCCAGCCCAACCGTCATCCGCTTTCACCTCCAACCCTCTAGCGTAGTCACTCTGTACTGCTTCAGTTTTTCTCTATTCAGAGTTTAGTAGTAGCAGCGCCAGCAGCTTCAGCGAGCTACCTCACAGGCCATTATGGTTATTAGGCCCTACCAGTTCTAGTACTGTGGTAGCCAGTCCGGGCACTGCGATAGTACCACTGCAGGTACCATCCAGAGGGTTTGCCTGACATTACCGTTGCCGTTTGAATGGTATGAATACTAAACCTAACACTGAGCACGACAGAGATCAAAGCGCAATATATTTCTGTGCAAGCGGACATAACAGGCGCGACGTTCACGTTATAGGTTCAACACTATTCTTTTTACTCATAGCTAGCGGAAGTTTGAATGTGACTTCACGTTGGCAAGAGCGACTTATTTGAACACGTATAAGACTGCACTGAGTGAGCCGAACGTTGCAAAAACTGGATGGAAAAGCGACACGAACAGAAAGCTAAACGTGTCGACGGCATTATAACGAAAATAGAGAGATTAAATAGTTGTCACCGCCAAATGTCTCTTTGTACTGCCAACCAAACGTGCTAAATTCATACGCACGTCATAAATATCTCAAACATTATTTTCAAAACCTCAAATGTTACGTCTAGTTTCGCCATGTAACAAGCGACATATCATCAGTGTATTGGCGGATAGAACTTTCAGCTCTCTTAATGGAGTACAACATAATTAAACGGTAAAAAAGTACCCCTATGTTTCTAGATATATACTCGCGTATAAATATGATTTTGTCTGATTAGCCACTCTAGTCAACATGATTTATATACTATGCTTATCAAGCGCGCTAACACTTCTGTAGCTCAATTGTTTCCCTACAGTTTGAGCTAGCCACCCACGTCCGCTTATCTTGTAAGCCCTGTTCGAGTAGTTTGTCGTATGCTTCTTGACGGTAGGGCGTGCTTTACTGGTCAAGCACGAAATTACCTTTTACTTTGATTTCGCCTTCCACTCACAGGTTTCAGGCCATGACTACTTTTCCATACGGCTACGGGCAGTATGTACTAGGGAACGGAGATATTTCAGTACAGGAAGCTTACGATATCACTGTGGGCAGTATTGATGGCTGTGTAAGGGTGAGGGAAAGAGCAAGAGCGAAACTTGGAGTATTTCTTAGGACATTCTTGGTGTATATGCCTCCCACGTTAGTGTGTTCCGGGTGTTAGTGCCTATAGCCAAGCATAAGGAAACATAGAGAGAAAGAAGGACCCTTAGTATTCATCATCAGTATTCAAGGGACGTTCGTTCAACCTTTGAGACTCACTGACCTCTAACCCAATCTCTGTCGAACTGCTGCCCTATATCACTTCTCTTGCTGAAACGTCCTATCTGTCACTTCTAGAGAGGCCTAGTTCTGAGAGGATACGAGGCGGCTGCGCATATTCCTTGCTTCGGCTTTCATTCGAGTTCCTTCGAGTGCGCATTGACGACGGCGAAAAGAAAAAGAGATGTGCGACTACTACAGCGGTGCAGGGGCAAAATAAAAAAGTTGGCATTCCCCGGTGTCTGTGCAGACTCACCTGGTCCAATCTAGTTCGCTGGCAAGTGGTAAGAACACGCCATCAAGCCATCGGTGCTGCTATATGCTCCTAGCCCTTGCTGTTGGAGCACGGAGGGGCGTTTCTGCACTGGTCCTTCTGCTGTCACTGGATGTAACAAAGTTGGTAATGGCTAGTTCTTTTCAACTTCATTCGATTATCTAGAAACTATCACTACAGCAGTCGCGGCCGACAGCCGGAGCCGGCCATCTACTAGGGACAGTAGCAGCAGGCACAAGCCTGTCAAAGGAGCGTCAGCTAACAGTTCGTCTCGATCACTCATGAAAAGACAAATGAGGGAGTGACCGGCTAAGTTATTAAACAATATCAACAGTCGTGGCGACGATATTAATAGAAGTATGCATCTACAAAGATTTTCCTTTAAGCATATTGAGTAGCAAAAACACAGTATTTAGCGGACGCCGGATACGTCGACCACCACATTAGCGCTAACTGAGCACTACTTAATATGGCTTCAATTTTTCCGGTGCTCACAGGTGTTCTGACGTAGTCATTATACGTAGATACATTGTAAATACTTATATCGTATCATTCCGTCATCAAAAGCAGCCACAGCCGCTAGAAAAGCTGCTCAGGTTTAATAGTAGGTTATAATATTGAAGAGTGAATGGAAAACTGCAAGTGCTGCTGTTACTGGGTTTGCTGGACGATTAGTTGAAAAGACCACAAGCAGAACCGGTCCTAAACTGCCTAAACACAGACGGGCTTAGTTGATCATTGCTGTATGGCTCTTTCATTTTGCTGCCAAATCTAAAGCATCTTTGTGCCACTTCCATTCGATCGATCGAACCATTCCACCGCTTCCTGTAGAGAATCCAAAACGGTTCATTCTCTTCCGCAGCTAGGCGCTACAACTATCTGCATTTATCTCTCGGTCGTTCGGGCCTAGCAACGTTTCAACCTCTTCACAGTGCGTGCTTTTTTTTCTTACCTGGACATCAAACAAGCTAGAGGACGAAGACTATCTTAGATCCGTAAGCGTGCAGGTACCAAGGCCGAAGACCGGTAGTAAAAACGTTGCGCTTAAATCCAATGCTGCGTCCATTTAGAAGGCTATTCTTGTTCGGTGCATTTGTACAACTGCTATTTTGCCTGTTCCTTAAATATCTGACGACGCGAACCCACGTTCGAACCCTGAGTTACTGACCTGGTCGATCGGAGAAGTTCGTGGGTGTTCGTAGGTTTCATTACTCATGTCTCGTGTCCAAGTCGAGTACACTTGAGATGTCCACGCCGATACTTCGCTGGCTCTACTCGACCTACCGAAGAAAGCCGTAATATGTAGATATATTCTTCCTGTGCATTCGCTCATTTTCTTGGCCCGTTTACTGCCTATTCTATGACACAGTATGCGCGGCGTCCGATATATGCATCACTTTCAAAGTCCTATGCATATTGAGAGACATAAGGATTGTAGGGCTTGACCCTCGGATAGCTCATGGCTGACCCAAAGACAGCGTCATATAGATACCATCGCGCTCAGCGCGTTCTAAACGCCTTTGGCGCAAAGAGGAGAACAAACCGAGACTAATACCGACGGCAGGTAAGGCTCCTTTTCCATTTCAGACCCACGGGTTCGGTGACCCTACAAAAATGTTGCCGACTGCTAACATACACTGGCATTCGTTGTAGTTGCGGCATACAATCCCGCCATAAAAAAAACGTAGAGAAGCCGGCAGGCGCAGCGCGATCGTGCAAAAGTCAGTCAGTGGTGTAGGCAAGGACATAGACATGGAAAGAGAAAGGATGAGCATTGCTGTCGTAGCTATATTCCTTTTTATTTTAACTCTGTGTTATATTTTATATAATTATTAATAATTTATGCAGCATCAAAAGAAATCGCCGTAAAAGAAAGCGCGTAAAGCGAAATCGAATGTAACAAATATATATATATATATTGCAATATGTGCGCAATTCAACGTAAATGCACGAAGAAGTACAGATTCGTAGAACTTTGTGGCCTGAATTTCTCGAAACCGCGAAATTGCTTTCGTTTTGCACGATCTGTGAAGTCTGCAAAGGCACGCTTAAGGTAAAAAGCTTCTGTTCAAACAAGAAATAAAGGTCGAGAAAAATAAAGTACAGCCTGTCTGTGGATGCAGTATTAATTAGCGAAATAAGAGTGGGGGTATCCAATCTAAATAAATTGGCTTGCTTAAACTGACTCAACTAGTCAATGCAGACAAATTTACTACACTGACGTGCCATACAATAAGTACAGAATGTAATTAGCTAACCTATGATTTGTTGTCAATCAGTTTCATAGCCAGCGTTGAAGGCGGTATTATACTTAACCTGACCCCGGGTATTTTAAACTGTATAAGAAGCTCTTTCATCTTTTCATAATTTCCCAGGGATAGCGCTTTTACGAGGTTTTCCATAAAGACCACACGATGCTTATTATCTCTGTCTACGTACGTCACCCACACACCCCAGCCCGCTTGATAGTGATAAATAATTTGAGACCTAAATTAATTTTCAGTTGTTCGCTAATTTAAACGTCCTTCGCACAACCTGTTCGTTTGGGCTCCAATGCGGTTTAGGGAAGCTATCGTGGCTCACTGATCTGCTTTCACTTGTCAGTATAGTCATATTGGAGCTCTCAAATGGTTCTGGTTTACTTTATAATACGAAAGGACTCCATGTCGAGCCTTTCGCTTGCCGTCGTGCCTATCAGAAGCACCTTATGCCTTAAAAATAACATATGCATATGGGCTTGTTTATGTCTACAGGTGTTGCCACATTCAAGCAAGCCCCGCACCGCACGTTTTAGATAGCATCTTAGAGCTATTCCAAAGATGTGCCAGAGGCATTGCGGTCGTGCGACGTATCTCTCCTGGGAACGTTTCACTGCATGCAAGAGCTAACAAGGAAGTAGTATCCTTCTATTAGGTCCCTCATCAATTGGTCCGGCGGGGGCAGTGTCACAAGCGCGCGAGCACTATCTGACTGGCTGAATCGTCCGCCTGTCTGACTGTTTCCCTGCAGCTGCGGTTATCGCAGATAAATACCGCCGCCATATTGCGCCCGACGCCCCCCTTCCACGTGTCCATAGGCACGCCTAACGCAGATCTAACCGACCCGCTTAACTGAACACAGATCCTGAGCAACATAAGCTAAATGTTTATTGGTTTATACTGTCCTGTCTCGAGCAGGAAGAAAGAAAAGGTTTAAATCGATTTTATGACAATTATATGAACCTACGTCACCATACTCTAAAAGCGTTTAATGAGCATGTAAATACATAGCTATACTAAGCGAGCTATTCCTTCATGAGACTCCGAAAGGCAAAAGCAGAGTCTTGAGACTACACTTTTATCGACCGCGTGTGAGACGAACAAACAGGCGGTGTTCCATATTAGCTGTTTATAAATTTTTCACCAGCAAATATATAAATTGTAAATAACACATACGGAAAATGTTATGGAAGGGCTGCAAATCGATAGAAGAAATTTATGGTTTGACGAGTATTTTCTAGAAATACCCGCGGGATTGGGTCAGGCGGGGACAAAATGGACGAGACAGCGGGTTCGGATATATTTATTAGAGTACAATTTTTCTACATCTTTTAAAAGCCTTTCATTATACGCTGCTGAATTGAAATTGTCGCACTAACAATAATCTCTGTCGATGCTGCGTATTAGGTATGCCCCTTTTTCATCGCGTTTACAAGTAGCGACAAACGAATTAAAAGCACTGTTAAAAATCCAAGGCCTCCTACACACACTATAACGTCGGCCGATGACTGACTATGAATTAGGCGCGAAATAGGGAGCCGTTGGCAGTCGAGTTATATATATTCTGCTGTTTGTTTTTGTGCAGGGCCGAGTTAGCTGGTATCAAATCGCGGCAAGCGTGATCCTTGTAATAAAACGAAGGCGTTTTGCCTATTTTCTGCCTCAGGTGCGGCCTCGCGTCCTACGATCGTCTCAACCTGCTCGACGGACGACAACGGAAAAGCTCTGCTGCCGACTCTCAAGAGAAACAGACAAAATCCAGATGCCTACATCACACATCGTTTAACTCCGCTTGATGCGACTGGTAGCGATCTTTCAAAACGACATCAATACATATTTTGAAATGGTAACGCTGAAATGATATGCTGTAGTTTACCTGTAGCTTTGAGACTGGTTGGTTTTTTGCATGCACTATATGCATTTAACTCAGCTCATCTTATGTAGAGAGGCTTATCCCATCTAGCTTTGTATCGCCTGTTATAAGCTTGAATATGGTCATAAATTAAATTCAGATTGTGTTTTAGGTAACGATCTATGTGAACTACCTAATTTATTGTTCCTGGGATGTCGTGTTTTTCAAACCTCTACATTTAACTCTTTAGTTGATTCAGGCTTCAAAACGAATGCAAAAAAACTAGCTTAAAAAACGACCGATGATCTCATACGTTATAGAGAAGCATTGTAAATCTATAGAATGTAGAAGATCACGACAAAATCGCAATTATAATTAGGCATGTAAACACTCCAGATGCTGTCAAAACCTTGGGGTTAAGTTGCCTAGGAAGCGTGAAACTGGGCACGTACTTACATATATTGCAGTATTATATTAGAGGAAAGGTTTTACAAATTCCTTAACAGACGCATTAAATGACGGTTCTACCCAGATCCGCCGGCTCTTCTTGGGCGAATTTTGCTGGTTCTTTACCTAGAAGGAGGAATGAACCGCCGTAGTTACGCAAATTCTTTTGAAACTCAGATAGTACGCGAATACACATAGACCATTGTAATGTATCATCACTGTGGGACGCGTTAAACAGCTTCATGGAGACATCAGGGGAGAACACATGTGGAGGCAAAACAGAGTTTTCACGTTCAACCGGCCCGTCCCTCACCTCTCTCTTCCTTCGTTCTTCTTTCGCAGCATTTCTTTTCTACAAAGCAGCGGAACCATAGTAATAATCACAATAATATTTCAGCTCTCGCTGGTCTCATCCACAC